TATATATATATTTATCAGTGTAATCAGATTAAAACAGGACAGTATGTTTATGACCAATGAGTATTGATCTTAAAATTGAATTAGAGAGGAAGTTAGTTAGCTTGCTGTGAAAGTCCTTACATCTTCAGCGATGAAGAGTTCAGACTGTTGCAGTATGATTGCAGCAGGGGTGTGATAGACGATCATAGGAAGCGACAGACCAATATGCAGTTGAAAAGGCACCCATCAAGAACAATTATATCCCAGTAAAAATATGAGGGGCGTTACAATACTTGCCTTCCCTCATGATTCTCTAGCTGCGAATACCTCCTGCTCAGAGTGCATGAATTTCTATTAACAAATTTGCTTAAGTGACTAAAAAAGCAAAAGATGATTAATCAAAGTGGGAATTCAGCTATACAATGACCTTGTAATCTTCGGCATGTTTCTGTTTAGAAAATCACTGTATACTTCACTGGGGCCTCGCCAAAGTACATTCTCTGTCCTTGCTATCGCTGTTTGACAAGAATGATGACAAAGGGGAACATCCATATCCAGTTTTCTTAATTTCACTCTTTTTTTTCCTTTTAGACCTGGTTAAGAAGTTACATAAAGCTGTTCCAGGCTCCATGCCAGCGCTGCGGAAAGTTTCTGCAGGATGGCCTGCCACCCACATGGAGGGATTTCCGAACACTTGAAGCTTTTCATGACACTTGCAGGCAATAGTAGCCCAGCTCAGCCGTTGATACGCTGGGAGCGAACAATCTGCCAGGCTCGGAAGAGAGCTGGTGGTTTAATAGGTGGTTCCATTCCTGAACCTTTCATCCTGTACTAAGTAGTGAGGTTGCACTAATACATTTGCCTATTTAAAAGCCATCAGTCTGCAAGGTACATGTGAGACCATTGTATTTTGAAGAAGATGGTAAGAAGCTGTGTGTGATCACTTGATGCTTCTGAGCTGAAATGATACGTCTGGGGAGATCTGACAGTAATAATTATTATTCCAAACCTTAATGAAAATATCTGTGTACAGTCTGCATTTTGTGACAGAATTTACATCGTTGAAGGCTTTTATAACTTTGAAATAAATTTTGTATTCCAGAATTTGTGTTATTTATTTCATTAATTGATCAACAAAATCCTTGGGTTTGGTGTGGATTTCTCAACGCTGCTCTTTTGTTCAGGAAAACTGGAAACATTTAAACATGCTGATGTGTTGGGGGGGGGGTGTTGTTGCGAGGCTGCTTATCTGAGTGCTGGTCTTTTTCTGCAAGAGATTATGGCATTGATTAAGCATGGAATTTCAAAGGCATGTGGCAGCTTGGAAGAGGCAATGTACTTTCTAAGGCGGGGGGAAACAGATGTTTCCCTTTACTAAAATTGTAATGAAAAACGTTAGCAAAACCTGCGTGTATTAAGTGGTTAGAAAACATGTGATGAGCAGTGACAGTGTGTGTAATTCGTCATGTTTTAGGACTGAAAGTAGTAAAATAATTCAGCCCCAAAGCACAGCTTCTGCAGCACAGACACATACAGCATGTTTCCTAAATGATTTAAAATGTACATGGAACACGCCAGGGAAGAGCAAGATCCCTCCCAGTAACCAACGCACTTGGGGCGGGTGGGATTGTTCAGCTCCTACGAGCCCCAGACATTTTTCCTTCATCCAAAGACCGGGGCGGTCCCTGGTCCTGTCCCAGCTGAATGCTGGCTGGCCTGGGGCTGCAGCAGGTTAAGTGTCTTCTCTGGTATTTTCTTGAGGATGGTACGTTTCATGTGTCATCTCCTGATACCCGATTTGATTAATTCAACTGCCGTTCCCCCTAGTGCACCCTTGTTCCCGTTACAAGCCACAGAGGCTTTGGTAATAAGCTTGCTTTTGGGAGCTGATAAGGGGAGGCCTGGAGAAACTTTGTCACTCGGTTAATTTTCCAGTAAATTGACATTAAGGTATAGTGCTGCAGACTTAATTTTTGAGGTTCCTTCTGCCTGTGTGAAAAGCTGCTGTTGCAGAAAGAAAAGACACCCCTCTCAGAGGCTTTGGTGGTGGCAAGGTTGGCTTAGGTTTTCGGCAAGGAACGTTGAGTGAAGTTAATCACATTTAATAAAAAGAAGGGGGCAAGGGGGGACAAAAAACAGGGCAGGAAGGGGAGGGACTTTTTTTTTTTTTTTTTCAGCTGATTAAAATGAGGTGTTCAGAGATTTTTAAGGCACTTGTTTTAATTTAATTTGAACCTACAGCATTTATGAAACTGCCTGTTCCGCAGCTGTGGAAACTGAAAAGTTGAAGAAACTTGAGTACCAGCCTGTACTGGCGTGATACTAAATTAACTGTGTTTGCTGGGAAGATGAAAGGCTGAGCTGCCTAAGACAACGGCTCCTTCCTGCGAGGACAGCGTGTGATGTGGGATTTCAGCTTTCTAGGTACAGAAATCCGTGTAAGACTGGCTCGTATAAAAGAGAGAGAAACTTGAAAGGAAATACATGTTTGTGAGTTCCTTTGGAGGCACAACGCTGTGTATGGAGAACGAGCATATGGTGGGTTGAGGATGTTGGTAAGTGAGATTTTCTCTTTTTTCAACTTTTTTTTTTTTTTTTTTTTTCCCTCTCCTCCCAGTCACCAAAGAGGACCATGGCCCCAGCAGTGGGATAATGGCTGTTGCAAATCCATCCGCAGTTGAACCACCTACTGAAAACTTGTCGTGCTGTTATTTGACCCAAGCAGCCGCCTTGGCACAAAGATCACCCAAGACAGAACAACGTGTGCATCTTAGATGAGAGAGCGCCTTGTAAATAAGCGGCCCTGCTCCCCGTCCTGTTATTGTGCTAATTAGAAAGCCTGGGTTTCTGATAGTGTAAGCATTTTTTTTTTTTATTTTTTTTAGTTAACGAAAAGGTCATAATATGGTATCCAACCTGCTTTAGGCGCTGCTGTCTGCTCCGTTCTCTTTATACTTAAATAATGGTGTAGAAAGCAAATCCTGAAGTTCACAAAGTATTACATGTGGAATTGTGTCTTAGCTCTTGGAGATAATTAGTTGCAGAAACCAGCATCAGCCAGTCTGTGTTAATTGAGTCTGAAATTTTAAACCTGTAATTGGCGAACTTGATAAGAGAGTCATAAAAATCACTGTAGGTACCTCAGTACAAAAATAATTGTCTTACAGAAGTGCAACGCAGACCTGTTTGCCACGTTCCTTCCCCCAGAAAACTGCAGGGGGGGGGAATCTTCTCCCCTCGTAGAAGCCCTGGGATAAACTGCGATTCTTACCCCTGCGAGCCTTCGAAGTGCAACAGGTTGGAATATTTCCATTTTGGGGAGTGGAACTCCGCTGTCTAAATTCTTCTAAAGCTCATGAAACCCAGCAGTTTGGATACGGTATGTGCTTGTCCCCGTTTACTGTCCTGGAAACGGGGATGCTGGGGGCCGGTGCCTGATCGTCACCGAGATGCGGCTTTCTGAGCCAAGCAGAAGCTCGCTCCGAGTTTTGAATGTGAGGAATAGAAACTGGGAGATCGCTTCTAATGAAAAAGCCGTTCTCACGATAGGGCATTTTGGTGTTCGTTCTCAGCTTTGTAGCTTGGTTACTGGACGTGATTATTTTTCTTTTCCACCCTCAGTTGAAAGGGTTGGGTGACAAAAGCGGTTCAATTGCAGGATGAGCTACCTTTTTTTTTTTTTTTTTTTTTGTAAATCACTGGAGCTTGTTGCAGCTTTTAAAGCAACTCAGATCTTTAAGGCGAACAGTAAGGACCACGATCCCTAAAGAGTGGTTGGCTCTCACTTCTTCTAGAGCATCTTCTGGAGCTGCATTGCTCCTGGTCCTTACTCCTGCAAGGCAAGCGCCACTGCAGAATTGGTAGCAGCCAAATTTGAGAGAGAGGGTAAAGGAGCCCAATCTACAGGCAGAAACAACAGCACTGCCTTTAGTGGCTCAGGTTGTACGTGTCGGAGCTGCATCGTTCCAGCATTGCTGTTTATAGCGCAGCGATACATTAATCTCCCCTAATACTGCAGGAAAAGTGTGTTGCCTCACCCTGGTTAGCGTCGCCTCGGCATCGCTCACCCGAACCAGAACACGTGGCTTTCTATTGCATCCCCCATGTGAAGAAATCCCATTTTATTTTCCTGTGCGCAAACCCCACCCACTGTGCTTGTGGCGCTTGCAAGCGCTAAAGGTTACAAAATCCATCTTTTCGCTAAGAAAGCAACTTAATTAATGTGAAAGTTTCTCTCGTGAAGGGAACCCGCAGCAGATACGCAGTGCATATTGCAGCCGGCTCCCCTCTTCCCTCCTAGCACCCCTCCCCAAACCACTTTAATTTCTCTGCCAATATTGGACAAATGTAACAGGCTGACTTTTTAATTTTCTACTCCCAGGTCTCCCTTGTCCCCTCATGCATTTTTCATCACAGCTCATGGCTCCCTCCCTGCTGCCCTGTGAACAATATTGATCGACTGATTAAGCCATCAAGCCATGGCAAACAACTTTAATTTTCTAACCAAAGCCATTTAGTTCTCTTCCCTTTCTTGTATATTTGTTACCTTCTTACGATGGTTTTTAATGTCTACTTGGAAACAAATACATTTTTTGAATTAGTCCCTAGGTTAATTGGGAGCTATGCACCACCGAGAGCAATCCACACCAAAATATTAACCCACAAAATGTAAAAAGAGAGAGCGGGAAGTGCTGGGTACAGTCCCCTGTTTCAAAGCCAGAATCGTTCCTGCCGAAGCTTTCAGAGAGGGGCTTAGAGAAGATTTACCGTGCTTGCCTTTCCTCTTTGGTCTATCCCAGTAGCATTAAATTTTACTGAGAAGAGGAGAAGCCCACCGTAGCTGTACGGCACCCCTGGTCGTACCTGCAGCGCTTGGGCTCTGGGCACCAAGCTTTGCTTCTGCAAGTTCTTGGACCACAAATTCACCTTTGCTAAACCCACCGAGGGCTCATTAGGTTTCATATGTACCCGCTGCCTGCAGGCCCTGGAAACTGTAAGAGTTCTGCAAGTATACGTGAGACCCAGGCTGTCTTGCAGAACATTTTTAAGCGAGGATGATGGTCAAGTGAAAGGAGATTCATCTGACCTGCATCCCAGGGCTGGCAGGTGGGTAAAAGCATCTTTCTTGCAAACTCAGTACGTGTGGTTTCCGTGAGGCTGGGGAGAATCGCGGTGTGGGTTTGCAAATTGCTTTTCAAGGTAAAAATGCAGCTTAAATACGAGGATATTTGTCTCTCGCTGGAAGCCTTCGAGCTCTGCGCTGTGCAGGGATGCTGCAGTCCTGTCTTAGGTGCTGGTCCTTCAGGTGGCACTGAGCTGTGAGAGCACCTATGCCGAACTGCAGCACATGTCGAGGACCCTTGTTTTGAGCGTTGACTCGACGTTTTGTGCCGACATCTCCAGATCTGTGAACTACAAACACGAGCAAAACGTTCCAAAGGAACTGGGCCACTGTCGATGGAGGGTGTGCATAAAGGCAGTGCCAGGACCAGGCATCTTCACGCCCCTGTAGCTGCCCCATGGCCAGGCTTTCTACCAGGATTTAGCTGGGAATCAATTGCTCCGTGCTCTGTACCAAGACACACGAAGAGCTGAGCCCCTGGAGGTGGGAGATGTGGCTCCACGGGACGTGGTTGAGCAGGAGGCTCAGTTGGCTGATTCAATAGCTGTTACCCGCCGCTGCGTGGACACCTGAAATGTTTCTATCGCTGTCCGCACCTCTCCTGCGTGACCACAGGATTCATGCTATGGATTTGGCTCAAACACATGGAATAGGGCGACAGCTCAACCTCACAGCTGGCTCTTAATGCAGGTTTCATCCCCGAGTTTAGCACCTTAATCCATGTCTTGGACTCCCTCCCCCAGCTCTGCGTGGGCACCAGCTCCTCCATCAGGTTTGAACCTTACAGCCCGTGCTGAAGTCTCCAGTTCCCCTGGTTTATCACAAATGCGCAGTTGTTAGGCAGGGCTTTCCTTCTCCCAAACCCACCTGCTGTCCTTCGGAAGAGGAGATTTTCTGCAAGGAAATGGGGGAAGCGTCAGCTTTGGCTGCGTTTCTTTAC